AACTCAAATTCCTGTAGTTTTAACTTCATTCTGCAGATGGCGCAATTTCTTTGTGTGGACTAGCTGCCTTCCCTCTAGTCTTTCACTGCTAAATTAGGGACAAGTGGCACAGATAGCCCTCGTGTAGCTTTGAGCAAAATTAAGAAAAACAAAAAACAAGAACTAAACTTTATCATGGAATAATTGAAAAATATTGATGAATTGATCTTTAAAAGTGTGTTGCACATTAATAACATTCATTGTTCCAAACAAGAAATTCGTCCACGTGACAATCAAAAAGTTTCTGTAAATTTTGTACAGAGTATTGTGAATTAACGTGAATGTTTTTATTTTCAGTAGACACAGACATAACAGAGAGATCTTTAAGCGTTAAACTCGACGCCAAAGGAGAAAGTTCTACATTTGGTAAAGATTTGGAGAGACTCAATGAGTTGCTGAAAGCCCACAAGGTTGACGAGAGTCTGTCATCCAAAATCAAAATAGAGGTCAAAGTTTTGCTTTTCTATTACAAGAAGCAGCTAATGGAATCTTTGGAACAGTACAAATTATTGCAGAAGGTATGAATATAAAAAACGTGATCCTTGAAGTGCTTAATATTTTTATTTGGAATACCCTTCTACTGGATACTGTTTTTGTTTTTTTTTCTAGATATAGTATAGTGTGGACCTATTATTAAGAATGACTGAAACTCATGAAAATTGGTCTTATTAGTAAGATGGTCTTAGTAACAGATGTCGATCCAAATATTAACACAAAGACAGAGATTTTAGGTACACTGGTAGCACACAAAAGTGTGTACTAATTAATTTTCCATTTCAGTCAATCCTCTCTTTCAAAGTCAGTTTGCAACATTTTTGTTTTCCCACAACTGCCCTTTTAACACCTACCACATGAGCCAACCCAGCATCTTTTAGTACTGAGCCTAGGGTGGTCATTCCAGAAACTGGAAATATAGGGTTATTTTGATAGATCTTGATGAATGAAGCTTGTCAAAACTTCTAAAACGAAAAAAAAAAAAAGCAACTAAATGTTAATGAATATATGACATGATGAAATCTCTATATATTATACTAAAGTAGTACCATACTGGGCCTTATATCATCCTCCTTATATCTACTCTTCTTTGCATAAATGATATTCTTAATTTGGCAATTGCTGTGGAAGTCATCATCTGGAGAGACGTTTATAAAGCACATTATCCCTACTGACTCTTTTAATCTAACATTTCTTGATAATCTGTGTACAATTACAGTGGAACCCCAATTAATGTGACTGATTTGGGTTGTTTTGATTAGACAAAAAAGACGACGTTTGGCATGATTTTCAATTCATAGGTTGCTGAACTAGACCCATGACTGTGAGAGCTAACATGGAGAAGTTAAATAAAGGAAAACAATGTAGCAATGAAATATGCCTTATTTGATGGTTTAAGTGTAGGCCCAAATCAGATAAAGGAAGAACTTAGTCGAAGATATCCCAATTGTTTTAAGATACCAGCTGGATTGGAGATTCCTCAAATGTTTAACTGCATTGACAGCAAAAACATAATGATATGAGCACGGTAGAATTGTTATCTTCCAAAATGGGGATTGGAATTATATATATAAGAAATAATTAGCTTCAATATTTTGTTTGTTTTTTTGAATTTCGTGCAAAGCTACACGAGGGCTATCTGCACTAGCCGTCCCTAATTTAGCAGTGTAAAACTAGAGTGAAGGCAACTAGTCATCACCACCCACCGCCAACTCTTGGGCTACTCTTTTACCAACAAATAGTGGGATTGACCATCACATTACAATGCCCCCACAGCTGAAAGGGCGAGCATGCTTGGTGGAACGGGGATTTGAACCCGTGACCCTCAGATAGAGAGTCGAGCACCCTAACAACTTGGCCATGCCAGGCCTCAATATTTTGTGAAACTTATGGCACAGTAAAGCCCAAAGATGCACAATGCATTACAAACCACACATGAGAAAAAGAAATAAAAAAAAATTGCCTTCTACAATCACATAACTAGTAACACACTTCGTCAACCTAACACAGCAAACCCTGGATACCCATCTTGAAGACATTTAAATAACTTGGGTGACTCAAATTGTAACGTGAATAAAACACTAGCCTCTCTATTAAGAAGACCCAGGATTGAATCCCTGTTGTGACTACCACCAAAGAAACAGTTTTTCTCTGAACTTCCCCTAAAGCAGTAGCTGAAACAAAGAATAAAAGCTGGTTGATAATTATATCTAGGCAGTCAGAGAGGCTACTAACCATGACAACAATAGGGTATATTTGGGTCACTGCCAGTTCAATTCTATTTAGTAGAATATAAATAAAATGTCAGTTTATTAATAAATATCAAGCACACTAATTAGAGATTCATCAAAACTTGCTGCAAATTCAGTATTTTTTTAATTATATTTAACAAATAATCCACAGAGATTGTTTAAATGTTACTGAAAATGTTGGAAGCATTCTGACTGTAATGAGGAAAATATATCCCCTTAATTTAGTGTTATTCCAATTTATTGTATGGTATTCTTTTCTTGCATAATGAGCTATTGTGTTTCTGTTATGTTCCTCAATTTTAAATGATTTTCGCTCATTTTGTTTCTCAAATGTACCAGACTCCACATTCAAAAAGGATATTGTAAATGGTGTTTTTTTTCCTCTCCATTTGGTCTTTAGGTCATTTATTGTGTACTAACTGCATGTGTATTATGTTGTGGCTTTTGAAAACTGTTCTGACTTTATGCTATGTATGTATATCTTCTGCACGTTTTCAGAGAGACATCTGACATAGGGCAACGTGACTGTGTGTATGTATATACCTACATATTCTTAGTGTTTATTTCCTGAGTGTTCTGGGTAACTGTTGTCAATGATGATTGTAGCAAAATGTCTTAGCATCTCTGGTATTACAAATCTTGCTAATTCTGTAAACTGGACAGTCTATGAAAACCAACTTTACTGTGTTGAGGTGGTTTAATTTAAGAGTCAAGGAATTTACTCCTATTTGTGGATTTCTTGTAAACTCCTATGTTATATGAGTTGCACGGCTTGGTTACCATCACATCAAGGAATGGGAGCTTATCTTCTGTTTCCATGGGAATTGTATCATGTGATGTTGTCTGTTCAAATTATTTATGAATTCTACAAATCCTGAGGCTGAGAGCAGTTGCTTTGAGGGCATTATTTTCAAAATGCTCCATGTAGAGATTTCCGAGTACTGATTAAAGTGGTGAGCCCATGGCTAGGCCTTTTGTTGTCGTGTTGACTGTTCTATGATTTTCAAGTTGTTGGCAGAATAACTATAGTGTTTCAAGGGTTGGTACATCAAAACATATCATGTCTTGTAAGGTTATAGTGTGTGATGATTGAAAATCAAAGTAAAAGCAATTTCAAATGTGTATTTTTGTACTATACAGGAGCTGGAACACGTTCGTACCAGCAAGAGAGAAAAGTTGCACAAAGCTCATAGTTCCAAAAAAGCACTTCAGAGGGAGCTCAAAAAGTTGAAACATCAACAGAACAATGAAATCAAATTACTTGCAAGGCCTGCAGATGTAGAAAATACTTCTTCTAATGAAGATAAAAGAGATAATTACTCTACTCTTCTGAGTCAGAACAAAGCTCTACAGCAGGAATTGTTTTTATTGCAGCAAGAAGTTGCACAACTGAAAGATAGTTTTGTGCCAAAGCAAACCCCAGATGTTAAGAGAAGTCCACAAACTTTGGAGCCTGGTTCAGAGGATGAAAATTCAACAGGAAAAGAATAAGACTGTAGAGAGAACAGGAAAAATAAATGTGAAATAAATAAAACATGCTTTTAGGAGAAACATGGCCTTACTGTTTCTGTTTTAGGCCAGAAAAAAAAAAGAAACAGAATTTGGTGTTTATGCTTTGTTGCATTTATAGATTTGAATTAGGTGCTCTGATCGTGGTTTTCCTCACCCCAGGTACGTTTTATCTCGACTTTGAATAAGTAGTGAAATGTATAAAAAAAACCTATTGTACAGGGTAACGTGTAAAAACATCTAGCCACTCGTTAATTGGCTCAAAATTAATATTTCAAATTATTCTACTCTGTTATATACTATAGTACAACCCTTCATCATTTACGCAAGTGTTGTCTTTATATAAAGAACAACCTGGACTTTTGTAAAACATTTCATGTTAGCAGCTGAGATGGCGTTAGATCTGTTTGTGTTTGAATCTATAAGTACTACCAAGTTTTTATTTCAGCTTTCCTTGACATATTAAACTAGAATTGTTTTTTTTTTTTTAAGTAAGAGAAGAACTTGTTAGTAAGTACATTTTCCTGTCTTAAGCCTTTCACTATTATTTGATGCAGAAAAGTGTTTCTCCGCCAAATTCCCTTCTTTTGTTCTTCCATTTTAATAAATTATCTTATTACAAATTTCATTTGCATAAAAAAAAATAGCAAAAAAATTATCTTTTCAAGCCAGTTTTTATTCTGATTTAACTTATCAAGTTATATGGTTATACTTTTATTTACAGTAGCTTCTAAAAGTATACTTTTAGCTGGACCTTCCTCTTTCTAGATCTGTCAGTTAATAGTTACACCAGATTAAACTTGTATAAAACTGTTTAACAGATCTTTACTGATTGATTATTACCAGTAAAGGGTTAAATATAAATGATAAGACAGAAAATTATTTGATTAGGGCATATTTTTATTTAAAAAGTACTAATTATTTATCATACAGACATGTAAGTTTGTGATCATCTAGGGTTAGTAAACAAAAGCTGTATCTGGACAATGAGAAAATATCTTGGTTAAGTCATTTTTTTTTGTACAGAAGTTTTAAAATACACGAAGTAAGAAGCCAGATAGAAACTATACATGTACATTTTTTTGACTGATAAATCTGTGTCTCATATTTCAGTGTTGCAGAGTGGAAGTTCGTGTAATTATCGAGTTTTAGTCTTTACTTCTCGATGATTTTGTCATCTTATACCGTAGAAGTTTTGCCACTAGAAATGTGTAATGTAAATAATATAAAACAGAGTATCATATATGTTTCTTTCTTCCAACTTTTATTGTGTACACATTTAGTGCACTGACCATTCTCAGGTACTCAACCCATCAAAGACGTTACATGTGCCAGCTAAGCAGTCGAGAATATCCAGGAATCCGTGACGAAGAAAAATTCAAAGCACAGTAACACATTCATGCATGGCATATTAGTAGTTTTTTAATTAATATGAATGTAAAAACAGTTACAAATGCTATCAGTTCAGATTGGTTTTCCTTTATAGAGTATGTAATTAGTGCCATATGTTCATTGTACTAGAGAGAGATACAAGTATAAAATACCACCTAATAGGAGAAAGCCATGTATCACAGGCATGGTTTTATAAACTATGTCACTACTTAATTAGTGATTTTTCTGTGTGTGTGAAGTAGTGGTCAATTTTGTTGGTTTAACAGGGGGAAAAAAAAAAATTCCTGCATTTGTTTTCACTTTATTTAGTAGATCCAGTTCCACAGGTTATGCATTTTTTGTTGAGACAATTTCAAGTTTGTAATTTATTTTTTTTACGTAATTAGAAAATAAACAGTGTAATAAAAATAATTAAGGTAGAGCCTAAAGAAAGACTTTCAGCTTACTAGAACATGAAGCCCGTATGTAACTATATATTTTTTTCGTTGTTAATAGAACATTTTTCTTCTGTACTTACTGTACAAGTATTTTTTTAATTACCCTAATACAGATCAGTGTTAATTCTGGGGTCATATACCATTGAAAATTGGGTTTATATATTTGTGGTGGATACAACACAAATAGCCTAATTTGTTTAATAACTCTCATTATGCTTGTACTAGATTATAAGTCATAATATTTTTCCTTTCTCAGAGTGAAATATGAAAATTAATTTTTTATTATACATTCCATCAAAATACATGCTTTGGTTTGTAGGTTTTGCCCTGGTTGCCGAAGGCTTATGACACTAAAAAACAGGTTTCAAAACCTGTAGTGGGCACATCACAGATAACCCATTGTTCACCTTCATGCCTAACAACAAATAAAAGATTACACATCTAATTATGTATTTCTTGCAGCTCATAGAAACAAAACTAAATAAAAAAATAATTATACACTTTATTCAATGCTTAACTGGGATTCAAAGTGTTGATTTTATATAATGCTGCAGAAATTTCACTTACCTATGTTTTGTTTTTGGATTAGGCTAGATAGAAGAAAAGTTTCACACAACTACTGCACTTTTTATTTTTTTAACGGGAAGTTTAACTTTTGAAATTCTTGCGTATATTTGGTAGAAGCACTGCTTATACAAAGATTTGATTGACGATGTTTCATCTGGTGTGGCCTAGTAGTGAGGTTGAAATTACAAATGATTTCGTTATCTGCATTTATATACACATACATTCATATCAGACAAATTCTCCAATAGAAGCAAGGCTTCTCTCGTTTAAGTTTCAGAAAATATTTGATGAGAAACTTTTTTTTTTTAATCTGACTTAATGCTGAATTTGTTTAAAAGAGTTAGATATTTCAAATATATAGTATTGGTTTCTGTTCTTATCTCACTGTCCGACCATCGAGGTTTTGCCAAAAGGATTTGTATAGGTTAATAAAACTAATACTCATCTCTTACTCAGTTTTCAAATTAAAATTTAGTATTTTAAAGAGAGGAAACTAAACTTTTCACACCCATTTTGTACCACATCCCAATATTCTAAGACTTCAAATTTGGGACTGCAGTTCAGAAAAAAAAAAAAAAAGAGGATAAATGGGTAGCATAACAATTAATGTGGGGGTTGACCTATTATATGCTGTAAAAACCAAGTTATGATAGTTGTACTTGTTTGAAACTGGAATACATTTTCCATGACTTGGAGCAAATCCAGAGATTAACTGTTATTTCACTGCTCACAAGGTTCATCTTGTATGTACATTTTAAACAGTGTACCATCTTTTTTAGTGGTATACCAGATATTCATTTGTCATGTGCACTTATATGGGGTCATTTTTTAAATCTTTTAAAGAGCCTGTTGTTGTTTGTGTGTGTACCCATTTAAGTCACGTTTTATTTAAGAACAGTTCTATTTCTTGTCATTACTTGCTGTTGCTTCTTAAAGATGACTTAGTCATTCGTTACATTGTCATTGATTGTACATAAAAGCTCACATTTCTGCATTGGTTTCCCTGCAAATTAGTACTGAGAGGGAAATATTACTTATTATATTTTATATATTGGTATGCATTCAAAGTGGATATGCAATATAACACGGCAACATCCCAAATAACTGGTTTAAAGAGAACCAAATTCTATTTAAATCGATTATTTGGGATGTTGCCATGTTATATTGCGTATCCACTTTCTTTGATTTCATTCTTTAATGAATATATAACAATAGTTTCTCAGGTTTCTTTTTAAAATTTAATGTAAGAAAACAAGTTAGGCTGTAAATGGAAAGAGCATTTTGTCTAGTATATACTATATGTTGGTTGCTTGTGCTCCTGTCCCTTAGTTTGTATATTATGTTACAAATGTGGTTTACCGTATGGCCGAGTATTTTTTTTTGGTGGGTTTTTTTTTGAAAGAGAAGAAAATATTCCATATGGAATAGAGTTGGAGTAGTGATCACATATTAAATGTATTTCTTAGAACAGTTATTTCATGGGTACCGGTGAACTTGGAAATAAGCAATGAATAGAAGGTTTAGCGTACGCCTTTTCTCATAATGTCAAAGTATTTGCACGTAAAATTCTTGGACTTGTCTTTACTTTCAGTTTTTGTGTGGACTTGGTGCTGTTGTTGTTGCCTTAAAAAAGTATCAAAAAATAATGTAATGCTCAACATATTCAACCTGTTTTTGTGTCATAAGTATTAGTTAAATATTTGCTATTATTAATGTATAATGTTTTTCTTTGGCACTTATTTTCACTCATAATAAAAATGACAGTCTTCTGGTACGAAACCAGGCCGCTCTTGTTGTTAGTACAATACTAACTAGATTTTCATGCCATATTATTGTGTGTTTCTTACAGTACTACAATGTAGAGGGAGCAGTTTTCATATGTAATTCAAAGCAAAAAAACAATCTGCTTTAAATAAATTTAAACATTAATCATGTTAAGATATTGGTTCTCGATTTAGTGTTGTGCAATTAGGGTAAAAATGTTAAAAGCTGTTTTAGTTGAAGTTTTACAGAAGAACTTAGCACACACAGACAAAAAGAATTGTGATGTAGTAAAGCCCTCTACGTATTTCTCAACCGCCACTCGTCAAAAAGAAGAACTGTCGAACATCAATTTACAGTACAGCTTGTGTCATTTCTCAAGTGTCGGGTTACTTTTTATCTGTATTTAAGCTGAAAAAAGGCTTACATGTTTGTATAGCCATATAGTTGCCCTCAGTCAGAGAGCTATTTTTGTGGATTCCAAACTATCAACTTCTTTTTATGTCTGTTAATTAAAAAGTAAGTATTGACAAAAGGAATAAACCTTGTGTTTCTTCACTGAATATTAATATCATTACTGTTGTACTGTTTAAAGTACACATACATGACATTTGCCTCACCCTTGTTTTTTTTATAATGTTGTTGTTGAGGTTGAATGTGTGACAAGATGAAGTAACAGTTACCAGCATAGTAAGAACATAGAAGCAACTGTTAAACATTAACACATTCCATATAACTTTTGCTGGTATTTTTATTACTTCTGTATCAGAGAAATTGCAAGTTATGTAACATTTAATCACTGGTATTTTTACATTTTATAGAGTAGTTTTATATTCTAACAGGTTTACTGACTTATAGTGGAGGCTAGAGCCTTGCGGGAGAATAAAAGGGGGTTCACAAGGAGAGCCTCGAAGGAATACATAGTCCCTTGTTGGCTGTACATTGTTATGTGAAAATTTTTAAAAGAATCGGTTACGTAGAGGAAAAATGTAGTTGCATTTCAATTAGCTCAGACTTTGAAAATTTTAACTATCTTAACACAATCATGGTGATAGATTATGGCTTTTAGCAATATATGAAGTTACTTTTCACACTATGTTATCTAAGATACACTTCCAGCTAGCCAAATGGATCCAAGATACCCCATAGAATTGAAACTGCGAGGAGTTAAGTGTAATCTTTCAGATATGTACTAACAGCTGATGGCCAAGTGTGTGTAACAATGTTGAGATTATAACTAAGGGCTGCCACAAAAATTAAAAACAACATTTTCCCTTTTCATAATTCTAAGAATTCATGAGTGAAAGCAAAGTAGAATATGTTAACCACACAACATTTGGTAAATTCAGTGCCGACGAGGCTTTTTGCCTAGTAACAGGGCTCTGAATCCTATATACATATGGTAAGAATTAATAACACAACATTAAACTTTTTGATAGTACATCTGTTGTTTCCCAGCCCCCCCTGAGAAGCTCTGTTACTGGGTGAAAGGTTTTATCAGCACTGGATGTGGCAGATGTAGTGTGGTTGACCTATCATATTCTTCTTTTCTTTTACTTGTAAGTTCTTAAAATTGTGTGTGTGGTGGGGGGGGGGGGGGGGTT